GTTGTTATCCTACAGGTGCACATGGCAGGGGTTGTTGTTGTTACTATAAGTGCAGTTGTTGTCCTACAGGTGCACATGGCAGGGGTTGTTGTTACTATAAGTGCAGTTGTTATCCTACAGGTGCACATGGCAGGGGTTGTTGTTGTTACTATAAGGGCAGTTGTTGTCCTACAGGTGCACATGGCAGGGGTTGTTATTGTTAATATAAGTGCAGTTGTTGTCCTACAGGTGCACATGGCAGGGGTTGTTATTGTTCATATAAGTGCAGTTGTTGTCCCCACACGTGCACATGGCAGGGATTGTTGTTGTTGTCCCTACAGGTGCACATGACGGAGGTTTATCTTAGGGCTTGTGCCATACATGGCAGGATTTCACTGCGTGATGTTATGACCGGGTTGGAGGAAATGATTCTCACCTGGCGTGGAAGTAGGTGCCGGTTATTAAGTATTCAGGTTATTGTTATTTTGTCTCAGAAATCTCCTATGGTTATATTCACCGACTTCTATTAGACTTTTCCAACATCCAAGCCTGTATGAGATTGGGAAAATATTTATATATCGTCAACTTAAATCGACTCGTCAAGCTCGTGACTGTTCACTTCATGTACATTTGTAAGACAATTTTTATAGAAGCGTGTAAATTATTCCTTAGTGTCCTTGTTTGTTTCATAATCATGTACAATTGGACACATTATAACTTAGTGATGTTAATTATACTTTGGTTTGTTGCAGGTGCAGCAACAGCAAGGCTAACATAGGTGGCGTTCTGTTCACACCAAGCAGCTGCATTAGTGATGGCTCTGGCAACAAGACTGGTGCAGCAGCAAACAGCGGCAGCTCTAAACCTGCAGCACAAACATCTACTACACCTGCAGCACCTGCAGCAGATGTCGTGCTGACTGACAGCATGTCTAAAGGCAGAGGAGGTGGTCGCTCTGGCCACAGCACTTCTCCTGAGAAGCCAGCTGCAGGAGGAGGTGGAGAGCGATCTCCTGATGACGGTGGTGGTGAAGTTACACAAACTCCTCCCCCTCGTGTGGGGATGCGAGGAGGGAGGAGGTATATGGGATTAGGGTCCCCATACAAGCCGGTGCTTGGACGTGGGGAAGACTTGCTCAAACGTCCCCGTGGGGGCCGTAGTCCCCTGGTTGAGGAGTACCCGGTGCGTAGGGGGTCCCCCATCACCCCCAACAAAACCGCCATGAAGATAAGGAGGTCTGGGGGCGTCCCTGTTCCCTTGGGGGGCCGCCGAAAATCCCTACACCCACCAGTGCCCCCGCTGGCTGAGGAAGAACCAGGGGGGACCGAGACCGGGGTTGCGGATGAGGACGCAGTGGTGCTGCGTCATCCCCAAGGGGAGGATCAAGGGATAAGCGATAAAGAGAAGCAGCAGGGCGAGGAGAAGGAGCGTGACGAGAAGGATGAAGACCACAGACATGAAGATAAAGACGATGATATTGATGAGGCTATTGACAAGTCACCAGGGTCCCGCTACCTCAAGTTCGAGAACGAGATCGGGCGGGGCTCGTTCAAGACGGTCTACCGGGGCGTCGACACGGAGACCGGCGTCGACGTCGCCTGGTGTGAACTGCTCGTGAGTGACATGATATATCTTTTGTTTAGTTCTTAGTTGCTGCAGCGCGACATTTGCCTTTACCTTGCAGCAATTTGCCTTTAAATTTCTTTAAATAGGCTGCAAGTTGTCTTAAACATGCTGCAACTCGTCTTAAAGATGCAGCAACTTGCCTTAAACATGCTGCAATTTGCCTTAAAAATGCTGCAACTTGCCTTGAACATGCTGCAACTTGCCTTAAACATGCTGCAACTTGCCTTAAACATGCTGCAACTTGCCTTAAACATGCTGCAACTTGCCTTAAACATGCTGCAACTTGCCTTTATTATTTTCAGCTTAGCTTTGCCTTGCAACGCAGAAACGTCCTCGCGCTGTCACAGTCGCCATTTGCGGCGGCCTTCGGGTGCTCCACCTTCCTTGCTTCGTCTCGTTAACGTCTTCCTCATTTCATTAAAGCGTTACAACCTTTTGATTAACGGAGCGCTCATTATCTCTTATGTATCTTGACTGTCGTCAACGTCCATGAATTTTAAGTATTTTTTTTTTTTTCGAGAAAAAAAATTGTATGTCGCATAGCGGTCACCGCACCACGATTTTGTGCATCGTCCGTTCGCTTATTTATGTTATTGTACGGCCGGGTCTCTATGCTGTTTTTAGTCGTGCGTACACCCGTATTATCGTACGGCTATCGTTGTTTATCGTTTTTAATCGTCCTTGAATCCGTAATTTCATTTGGAAATCCCTATCAAACCATTTTTCATAAACCGTAAATCGTGAATTCGTACATTAGTCCTTAGTAACCGTCCCGGAGTCCCATACCGTACCGTGGATGTCGTCTTGTTGACGCTGGGTAAAAAACTTGCCTATATTCTACATGCGTGTGTTGAATTAACCCGTAACAGTTGTTATCAGGACGCCATGGCGCTGCTTGCTCCACTGATAAGAGGACAAGTGCACCTACCTGCTTTGCTTGTCTTATCTCATCCCTCGCATGGAGATTAGCTTATAAACTCCCGACAATCTCTGATGATAAAGAACATTTTTCACTTGTAAGTTTTCTTTATAAGAAAACTTTCTTTATGTAAGTAAGTTTCACTTGTAAATTTCTGATCAACTGAGGCTAGCC